GACCCTGTCTCAAGACAAAACAACAAACAAGAACTGGAGATGTCGCCGAGTTCCCAGAGTGCTTGCCTAGCACACATAAAGTCCCTGGGTTCAATCCACTGCACTGACTGAAAACACTGGGCACAAGGGCACACACACACAATCCCAGCACTTGTAAGTGGAGAAAGGAGGATGGTTTGTACAAGGTTATCTTTGACTGAACATCAAGTTCAAGGCCACCTAGGGATATAGGAGACCTGTTGGTATAATGCTCTTTTGGAATATATACAATTTACCCTTGTTCATTCAAATGCTGATTTCTCTACCCCACTATTTGGTTTCAATCCAGACATTGCATTGTGATGCTTATTCTAAGAATCATCCGTCTTAAGTTTGTGTAAACATGCCACGATTTGTTCTCTGTATTTTCAATAAAACAACCAGCCAATGCTGTGCAATGGAGAGAATAGGGTGGGACATCTTGGTCCAGAGAGGAGGAGAAAGAAGCAAGTGGGAGGGATCAGAGAGGAGAGGAGAGATTGGGGGAAAGGATCTTGGATCCATGAGGAGAGATGAACTGGACCTAAGATATGACTAAAAGCAAGTATGATGGGTGAAATCTGAATGGTTGGAAACTATGTGGGATTGAAGGTTTAGGATGGAGTAATCGTTGCCCAGCATTGTGCTCTAGGTTAATTAAATAAATCCTAGTCTATGTGTGGTGATTTGAGTATACAGCTGGTTTAGGAATAACCACGGTTTAATTAAAAGATAAATCAATAATAAATATTAATAGCAACAACAGAGACCTGACAAGTTTTTAAGTAGTTAAATGAAGCCCCTAGGATGAGCCTCATTCAGTCTGAATGAATTCCATCTGACCACAACAAAGAAATTTGTTCACAGAAAAGGACATGAGTGGTACGTGTGCCCAGAAAAAAAAAGCAAACGAGGATAGCAAGGCAGAGAGAGGCCTCTGTGGAAACAACCCAGGAACACTTTAATTTTTGACCAGAGCCTCTAGAACTCTGCAGAAAGAAAGTTCTACTCTTGAAATCACCCAGGCTGTTGTTTTTGGGTATGGCAGCCATTGGAAACTGACAGCTCCTGAATATTTCCAAATGACATGAGGTAACATTAAAATAAACAGCCTCCCCTTCCCCACCAAGAGCTTATGAACCCCCAGCACTGACTATGGCTTCAGTGTGTCACACACCAGTTATTCAGACACAGACAGGACGCGGACCGTACACTCTTTCTCTGGCTTAGATACCTGTCTCTTGTTGGCCCCTTGGGCCTATAAAGCCTCCCTTCCTCCCTGCTGTGGTGGCTCCGTCCTTTGTGATGAAGCTGGTGTCCAGCAAGACACTTGCCAAGTGTCCCAAGTGTTAAACGTGGCTATAGTTTGACTGGGAACAATCAAGAATGACTTCTCTGTCACTCTCATGGGGGGTAATGCCCTCCTCTCAAATCTGCCATCTTTTGTCCTTTTGTCTCCCCAGTAGCTTTGCTAGGTCCAGAGGCTCCAAGGTCTCAAGACATTAACCTCACTCCTATTTCTCATCACCAACCACGGAGGCTCAAATGCAACCCAAGGACCTGCCTGCTGTTGGCGGTTACGGGCAGGATATGATCTCATGGCCCCTACTTTTCCCTTCGAGAACTGTGCTTGCAGGCAGACCTCCCCTGCAATCCAACTAAAAGGTAGCGTCCCAAGACATAAGTGCTCACCAAGCCCCACATCAGTCAGTCTAGATAAGTGGTTCTCAAGCTGGGGGTCTCAGCCCATTCAGGGGTCAAATGATCCTTTCACAGGGCTCACGTGTCAGATAGCCTACATATCAGGTATTTGCATTACGTTCATAACAGTAACAAAACTACAGTTATGAAATAGAAACAATGATTTCATGGCGGGCTCACTACAACAGGAGGGACTACATTAAAGGGCCGTAGCATTAGGAAGGCTGAGAACCGCTGGACTAGAGTCTCAAAACTCTTGCAGCTAATGTGGGAGTCATTGGTACGGAGGTCTGGGGGGGGGGTATTTTTAACTTTTCTTTAAGCCAAGGATAAAGATAAGATTGACTTCTGTGTTTTTCTTAAAAAAGATTTATTTTTAGTTATGTGTATATGTGTGTTCGTGTGCGTGTGTGTGCGCACACATGTGAATGAAGGAGCCCTTGTGGTCCAGAAGAGGGTGTCAGATACCCCGGAACTGGAGTTACAATGGTTGTGAGCAGCCTGACCAGGGAGCTAGGAAGCAAATTCAGGTCTTTGGTATGTCTGCTTACCTGTTGAGCCATCTACCAGCCTCTCTATTGTTTTTAAGAGTGCTTTTAAATTGTCATTTTGAAATGATGCCACACTATAGAAGAGTAGCAAGAATTTCCACATGGCCTTCCTTCCAAGCATATCAACTGTAAAAACATTTTGTTATCTCCCTACCTATCTATTGCTCATATGTCAAGTACATTGTTTTTTTTTTGTTTGTTTGTTTGTTTGTTTTTTTCTTGACTGAGCCAAGACTGAATTCTTGAAATCATGCTCTCACTCTCCATCAAATGCCTCAGGATCTCTTTTCTAAGAACAATTTTCTTACAGAATTGTAAATTCAGAAAGTTAACTGATATAGCACCATCACCAAATGCATTGTTCGTATTCTAAGTCTGCCAGTTGTCTGAGTCATTCCTGACTATCCCCCTCTTGCCTGCCCACTCCAGGAAATCACACACTATATTATTTGGCATGGTCCTTTCATCTTTAACCTTCACCTTTCATGACATCAGATACAGTTTTGAAGATGCTCCTTTTGAAAATATCCCTCAGTTTGAGTTTGTTTTAGGATTAAATTGAGCTTATCTGTATGGCACATAACTGGAACTTTAGATTCACCGGGGTTATTCTTGCCTCAAAATCAAAACTACATTGAAGAATGATCATAGCTCTCTGAAAGACCCATTTGCTTCAAAACCAGCTATATGTTATTAGGAATGAATGAAGGAATTCCCTGGAGAAGCTGCTTCACCATGAGTCACTGGTGGCTGAAGACTACCCCCAACTCAGCTAACCTGTCAGAGGTTACTATATTTTAAATGCAAAGTTGATGAAGCTGAAGGAACGATGCAGAAACGTGTAAGTCACAAAAACTTAACGTTTTTATTGCAAGTGTGTGTGGCCTACGGCAGAGAGAATAGGATGGTGTTTTCACTCAGGTTATCTGCATTTCCTGTAACGCCCTGCAGAATTAACGCCCTGCTTTCATCAATAGACCCAGCGATCGAAACACTGAAGCTGCCACCCACCCTCACTGTGTGACCTGAGGTTCACCCTCCACCTACCACAGCCTTGTAAGGGGCTAGGTTTCAGAACCGCTGGCTTTTAAACACTTAAACTTGTACTTTTTATTACTGCGTATTTGAGGTGTATGTGCTGCATAAGGGTGTCATGTGCCACAGGTCAGACCACAACTCTGTGTAGCCGGCTCTCTCTGCCACCTTCTGTGGGTTCCGTGCCTTCAAACTTAGGTCACCAGTTTTGTGACCTGCTAGGGCACCTCTCACACGGCCAGAACTGTTGATTTTCTTCATTGCAAAAGTTCCAATGTTTGGAGAGAGAAAACCCTAATCAAAACCCAGGTTGGTATGAGATGGTGGAGCCGTGAGCATGCGAGCACATAGGTGTGCTTCGAAGGGCTGGGAGGAGAAGCAGGATGAAAATCCAAATCTCCATCCTTCTTCATGTTTGCCCAAGGGTGGTCTTTTTCTGGCTTGTTCTTCCTTCCCAACTGATAGAGAATGTGTAAAGTTCATTTCAAATACAGTTTCTTAAGGAGGATTCAAATAGGTTTTAACTTAAGCGTATAAATTTAAGGAAATATCTGTCCTAACACTACTTCTTATGATCCTTAATTTTTTTTCTTTTATCATTTGACAGAGGAAGGAAGCATGCCAGCACGATAATCTTGTCTTCTTTTCCTGGGTGTCCATTCCCAGAGTTCTTTTGCATTTGTGTTACCATGATTTTTCTTTCTTTGTTGCAACAGTAGCAGCAACGTTTGTACATCCTTCTTGAAAACAAGTGAAAGTCGTTGGCCACACGCACAGAATCTAGGTTCCCAAGTCACAGGCAAGGTGAGTGGCACAAGCAAGAGGTGGAGTTTTTACGAGAGGTCAGACAGACAAGGCCTTGCTTCTCATTCACCCGGGAGCACAAGGCCCCCACGGCTGGGCTGCAGTCAACTAACATCCAGGTAATTTTAAATCTCGGTTTTTTTATTTGGAACCATGTTGAAAGTTTGAAGAGAAGCACTTCATTTTACCAGTGTCTATGTACATTACAGGAGAAACAGTGACTATTTGTCAAAGTAGTATGAGTAAATAGTTACTATAAATAGTAAACTAGGGCATTACAGTTAAAAGAATTTGAGTTTGATAGTTCAGTGTACAATTAGAGTATTACCTCAGCTAGTTTCTCTAGAAGGCCTTTTGCTTTATCTATCTATCTATCTATCTATCTATCTATCTATCTATCTATCTATCTA